GACTAGGTGGAATTGATTGATATGTATATGGGACTATGTGACATGTGCGTGACATGTGTGCGATATCTATCTGGTCCAGATAGATATAATAATTTACTATCTATATCAAATACGGTAGTACCGTATCTGCCGGCGATAAGGCCGCAGTGCCGCATAGGCCGCACCCCAATTTTGACATTTTAAAGAAGGAAAAAAAAAACGGACAAAACAAAATAATTGTAATTTTCTCGTAAAACACTATTTTTTTTGACAAACGGATACCAAATTTATCAATATTCTTATAATTTACCGGAAGTTTAGCTAAAAAAGTGATCGCAGGCAGATTTGGTGTCCAATATATGCAAAATGTACCCCTACCACAATGTACGGTGTAATGCGAAATTGCATAAAATGGAAAATGAAATGGCGACTTCGGATGGATGCTTCGCGGTAGCTCCGTTAAATGGTCCCTTCCTTTACTTTTGCAAATGCATTGTCACAAACTTAGAAATCTATTGGCAAATGTTGTTTTAGGAAGTTGTTGTTTTAACAATGCAAGATAAAATTGTCGGTAAGATGTGTGGAAATGTCCTGTACCATAGTGGTATAGTTATTTTACCGTTCGCAATCCCATATGTGCAAATTCGTGCTGGTTTGGACTTTCGCACCCCAACTTTTTGATATTTTCTCTTCCAAAAATACTGCGGCCTTTACGTCGGCAAATACGGTAGGTGGTTTCCCGGCAAAATTTGTATCATCACGTATTAGTCAAAACATATTCTTTCACATGATTGGTAATAAAGAGATTCCATTTCATTTTTTGAGAGGGGGGCATTTTCATAACTGGTCTTTACCATTTGCAGGCCCAAAAAATGAAAAGGTTAAATTCCAACGGCATTTGAAAGATAATACTAATTTAGAACTTCCTTCAAAAAGGTGGGGCTTCAAAATGTCTTCAAGTGGGAAAATAATGACCATTAGTTGTTAAATCGACTTAGGAGCTATAGAGCCAATAAGTAATAGTCTTGTTTTTCAGACCATTGTACCGAATGGTCATACGTTTTATGCTGCGCAAAGATTCAATCAGTTTAATTTTGGCCATCGCAAGAAGTGGGTTACTGATGTAGACAAATGCTCATGTACCCTCACAGCTCATTTTATGTATATTATTACCAAACAAGAAAAAAGCCAGTCAGTCACTCAATAGTGTCTGACAGTGAAGTCTAGCAAGTAAACGGGTTTACTTGCATAATTTGAATATTAGGACACTACTAACGTTTAAATTTCATAAATAGGACATATAACGTACATATTCATAATTCCTGTAAAGTTCTACAGAATTTGAGGTTGGCTGCAAAAGGGACATAGCACCTTTTAGCATGGGAAAGTGTTCTACTTTGCACAACTTTTATTAAAATGTATACAAACTAAAATCATGAAGAGACATTTTCACCATTTCTGGACAAATGCTGCATAGCACTAAGCAAACTGTGTGTTATATTTAGTCATAAGATTTCGAAAGTTATGAAATGTTAATGTGACATCAAAGTTTGCAAATTAGCTCTCACCAAATTTAAATTTGTGATCGAATCTATTAAACTTGGTTTATAATTTGTATCCCCTCGCCGACGAAGTCGGAGGGGGATATAGTAACGCTGCCGTCCGTCCACCCGTAACAAATTTGGTATCCGATCGATAATTGCAGTAATGCTTGACGGATTTTAATAAAATCTGATATAAAGGTACATTACATGGTATCAAAATACAGGCTAAATTTGATTTCAGAGTATGTAGGTGAAAGGTCATAGCTCATTAATCCTTGAGAAGGAGCCCGCGCACTTCTACTTTCATTGCTCATTGTGTCTCATTTAGTCATTTTCGTGAGTTTTAGTAAATGTAAAAATATAAGTTTTGTTTATCAATACGAAAAATAAGATCTGTTATTTTTGAGGAAAATCTTATTTTGCTGAAGCTTCACGTCTTTCCTTTTCAATACACTCACAATACAAATTGCGTAAGCACCGCCACACGCGCAGATCGGTTGATACCTCTATTTATTTCCCCATTGTCAATGATTGTCGTCTGCTAAAGCTCGGCCGATTATCAACCGAGCCATAATCAATAGGCCTAAGCCTTCGCTTTACATGGGTTTTTCGACACATTTTGTAACTATATTCTGACCAACATTATACCATGATCTACAGTAAATGCCCTTTTTTTTAAATGTGCAAATTGTTATGTATATAAAACAACATAATGGACATGCCAGCTGCAATGCATACCAATGTAATGCACATGCTAATGTAATGTACATGCCAATGTAATATACATACCAGCCAGTGACAATAGGACAATAACTCTCAGGTAAAGCACATATGTTATAGTGTATCAGAGATACAACACAAATCAAATATAGGACTATTTGGGAAATGAATTTTGAGATGAACATTGTTTTATTCTCGAAAACAAAAATAATATTTACTTTGAATGCTTTCGACTTCATAGTTTTTCATAATTTGAAATATTTATTTTGTTTTAGTTTGGCTCCCGCTTAATTTTGTTTATTTTTTCTTTATCTATACATCTCTTAAAACCCTATTTTGATATGAGGTTGCTGATTTATTGAATTTTTGTACGCATATTTGATTTGTTTGTTTGTAATGAAAAGAGCTAAATGAATGACAGAGATTAAAACAAAATCGTAATTTATCACAATCAACTCTCTCTTTTTATCTATTTATCTATCTATCTCTGTCTCTGTCTCTCTGTCTCTCTCTTTCTCTCTCTCTTTCTCCCTCGTTCCCCTCCCTCTCTGAATATGTCAGCAATTTCGTAAAATTGGAATTGTGCTTTAGTGTAATTTATTTCCGCATCGCGCTGTTTTTTTGTTTTTGTTAAAAGGGTGTGGCTAAAAAGGAGTTGATCATCGTAGTCTTGGTAGTCCTTTATTTATTTAAAAAAATAAATGATATTTAAAATATAGTAATTCAATACATGTTACGAAACAATAAGGAAAAAAGTGCAAACAAAAACACAACAGTTGAGGTGGACAATGATGAGAAACATAGGCACACTAAAACAATACCAATATGTATAAAACAAATGACTGTGATTCGGGGGCAATACACAAATGATAGCAATCAACAATAAAAAGCTAGTCATACCACCACCCCCCTTTTTGGCTGTGACAGGAAATCGATAATGGTAATATATCATGTTAATAGAACACATATAAAAACAAATAAGGCAAAACATTTGTAAATCTATATCTGCCTTTTACTTTTTTCAATGTGGGAGGGGATCATGATTATTCAAATAGAACTGCCATCTGAAGAAAAAAAAGCTGTTGTGTGCCTTATCATATTATCATCTTACCACTATTACCTAAATATATTTTATAAAATAAAATGACACACAAATCCCATTTATCAGGATAACCATTGAACATCTAGACTGGTTTTGGTCAAATCCCTTGTGAGAATTCAATTTATTTGTTTTCGTCTCCATTTGTGTTTTTGCTCAACTTATCGTGTCAATAAAACTTTGTTAATCCTTGTTTCATGATCAGTTTTGTAGATGGTATGTACATGTACAATGTATATATGAAATGATGATGATGATGATGATGCTTACAATATTGTAATAAAGTAGTAATGGTAATACAAATTATTTTCTTCATCTTGCACTCGCTTTTTTTTATTGCCAGAAAACTTGCATTTTTTTTTTTCAACAATGGTAGCTACTGAACAATGGTAGTTACTTCTTTACATTTATTTGTTCCTCTTAGGGTGGGGTCCGGTCCAGGCAGCTGAGATAGGCGTTTTATAAAAGAGGAGATCCATACATGAATGATTCGCTAAATTGGTCAAGTTGATAAAATGAAAAGGGTATAGTCAGAGTTCCGGCACTGGTAATTACAGGGGAGAAGAATTACCAAGTCCTTTTATAAATGCGTACTTATATACTACACAGTTGAGAGTAAGCTTGGTAATTTGTGGGCAAGTGAAACGCGGCGTATAGCAAATTTTATTTAAAAGGAATAGTCCTAGGTCTTTATGAATAGGCCTACTATAGGCCTAATAATATTATTATATGAATAACTACAATAAATCTATGGAAATGTAAGGAAAACAACGCCCTCTCATATTGCTCAGCGAAAATAATCCAATCACTGATCCGTCTCCAGCTGTACCGGTATTTCAAGGGCTTTTTTTTTCGATCCGAACACTAACTTAGGGTAAAGTTGAAATGATATCACTTTTTTTCCACGTAACGTAATTTTTTTTTAATAGATGAAATGAATGAATATATCTAAATAATACTTTAAACAACTTTAGCACATAATAGCTTATGATAAGCTGGAAAAATATTGGGGATACATTTCGGCTTCTGTAGATACCCGTCGTCACAGACTTAAAAACTTGCTCGTCTTCTGTAGAATCCCGTCGTCTCCAAAGTGTTAAATATGCGATTTTTGTTTTGCTTTGGATAACTTTAATGTTTGACAAGATTTTAATCAAATTCGAAATAAAGGTACATAGTATCAAAACACAGCCTAAGTTCAATTTTTGAGTATGTAGGTCAAGTGTCATAGCTCATTAAATATACGAATCTGGTTTTTGTTTGATAACTTTAGTAACGTTAGCGGATTTTAATAAAATTTGATATGAAGGTCATGGTATCAAAATACAGCCTAAGTTTGATCTCGGAGTATGTAGGTCAAAGGAGAAAAGTCATAGCTCATTAAATAAGCAAAAACACCTAATTATATCTGTAAAAATGTGGTCAACTTCCTTGCCTACTAATATAATAGTATAGCCCCAATGGAGGTAACTTGTTTTGATGTATATATAGGCCATTTGTACCCTGCGAGGGGATGCTACGCTTTGCGTTGACTTGTTTAAATAAATATTTTGGTCATGTTTTACTTTGTACTTTGTTATTTTTCTTTTGAAGACTGATGGCATCAATTGAGTGATTTGGACTTTAGGAGAAGCAAAGTTTCTGGAGAGTAGGTTTATTTTAATGCTACATTCCATGATTCTTTTAATAAATTACCCAACCTGTGTTACTGACAGATTTTCATCGCTATTAGATGATATATTTATATGATTTTTGCCATATTTATTTTTGAATATTATTAACTGACATTTCTGACCACTTCCCAGTATATTGTATTTGTGATATGGCTATTCACAAATGTACCTGTGAAACTGACTTTTTTAAACATGATTTAAAGAAAAATAATATTAGAATTTGTTTGCATTTGCTGTATTCAAGGTAAATGGTATTTATCTAGTGATGTAAATAATATTTATGATAGCTTTGTTTTTTAATTCACAAAACTATAACTCATGTTTCCCTGTGAAATTAATGTGTATGAAATACATGTATAAGCGTAAAAATAAACCTTGGATTACAAATAAAATTATAAAGTTGAGTAAGAAAATATGTGACTATATAAGTTGTATATTAAAAATCCTAATGATTATAGAAAAGAAATATATAGGAAAATTTGTAATAAATCAAATAATAAGATTAAGATTGAGATAAAGAAATATTTAAAGAAAAGTCTTGAAGAAAACATGGAATATTATTAATAAAGCAATGGGAAAAAATGTAAGATAACTAACATTCAATAGATTAAAAAAGTGATAATTGATAAGAATGACTTAGAAAATTATGAAATGTTTATGTGACATGATTGTAGATGGGAATGTATGATACAGTATTTAAAATTATGTACATTTTGTCTGTAATTCAAATGAAACTTTGTACAACTGATCATTCCAAGATTTACATGTCATATTCTAATTTTATGTTTCTTTTCTTTTCCTAGGCGGAGACTTTTACATTCCTTTCATTCTCATTGAGCTTGTTGGTGGACTGAACAATTCCATTTCATCTTCACCCATATTCCCTTCCCAACTGTCTTCAGACGTATATTCATCATTCACTTTTCTTTATCTCAGAAAGATCCTGCTCTCCGAAGAGAGTGTACCACAGCTGTCTCTTGTAGACCGTATTGGCTGTGTCTTTTATCCATTTCATCCCATTTCATCTTCACACTTGCAAAAACCAATGAAAAATTTACAAGAGCAATTATGAAAACATTATTATATATTCGTGCAGAAGCATTCTATACCTAATCACAGAAGTCTTAAATGTTTGCTACAGAAGAAGTCCTACTTTTTACTTGTGATACTTTATATTACTGAATTTTCTAAATTTCACAAATCTTCTCTTATTCTACAAGCTTTCTAAATCTACAGTATTCTTAATCACAGAAGTTATTCCTACAAGATCTCTGAATCTATTTTATACTAAGCTGTCTGAACTTTTCTAACCTATTTCATATTACTGAATTTTATATTTCTTAATTATGGAACTTGAAATTGATCAATTCAAGGAAGTGATGAAAGAGATTGTAGATATGCTATATACATCTAGATGTGCATCAGTTCTCGATCCGCATAATGAAGAATGTTGTGTCTGTAAAAACACAATTGAAGAAAGTGAAAACAAAGCTACTTGTGAGAGCTGCAATGAACATTACCATGTAACATGTATGGGTTTTTTGTGTCAAGATCTAGTAAATGAGCAAAGATTAATCTGGATATGTTCATATTGTGGAAATAACAACATTGCACATCGACTATTTGATAAAGTATGTATCCCCTCTCATATCAATAGATACCAGCCTCTCGAGACAGTGGATGAAGTATTCAATGATGATGTGCTCCTCTTAACCAAGCGAAATGACACACAAAAGAAATGCAGATCAAAGAAAAGGTATTTTAAGAAATGCAAGAAAATCATTATAGAGCCAGGAAATCAAAGTGTAAAAGTAATGAAATCAAGTGAGTTTGACACGCATGAACATGATCATCTAGTCACTCAAAGAGATTCCCCCAAACAACGTGATCAAGTGCATAGTGAAGAAGTAGGCAGTAATGAATGGATGAAAGTGAAATCAAAAAAGGCAAAGATGTTGGAAAAGATGCAAGAAAGAATATCACATTCAACAGCAAAAAGTGACAGTGGAACAGGTCAGAAAAAGAGAATCATAAATGGTGTTATTTTAGAACCTGGAGTAACGTACATTGGCAAAGCAATGAAATCTTTCTACGAAAGACGAAAAAGTAAAAAATCAAAACGCAAAGTAGACATCGAACTAAACAGAGATGTAGAATGTCAGAATGTATTGGATAATTGTGTTCAAATGTACGCAGAAACATTGCTAAATGAATACTCAAAGTGTGTACAATCACCAAAATCTATGATGTCCCATGAAACGAAACTCTACAAAGAAAATAACAAGAAGCAAAAACAATCTTGGGCTGATGTAGTAGGCCATGTACAAAATGAAATAATACAGGAACATTCTATTGTTGGCAGTGCGACATGCAGTCATGTTTTTTTTAAACAATATAATGGCAAAGAACAGAGCACATTTCGAGTATGTGGTGGTGCAAAACACTCACAAAAAACTGAAAAAGGAAACGAGAAAGTCGGTGTTTTGAAGGGCAACAAAACATCTTGTGGAAGGTCAGTTCATTCTAAAGTATTGAAAATGGAAGTATCAAATGATAAAGGAAAAGTATGTGACGGAAAGACTGAAAACGCGGGTGAAGTAAAGGTGGCTAAAGATTGTAAGCAACATGTGGACAAGTCTATTCCTATGAAAATGTTTGAAATGAAACATGATAGTAAATTTCATAAACAGTCAGTCAACACCTCTAATGTAAATTTAGAAGAGAAGCAAATACCAAATGAGAACATGTCAAATATGGAACAAAATACACTTGTGCAATGTGTTGCCCTGGGCAATTTTCATCAAGGAAATGCTAGATTTGGATTTTATTCTGGAAAGCAATGTGTTTCTAACAGTTTTGCTGCTATTTTATACAGTAAAATTACGGATGTTTCCCAATGGCAAAAACAAGATCTTGACAAGGTATTGAATTATGGTAATGAGTTGTATAGATTTATTCAGCTTAGTTCTGCAATAAATGAAAATTTCTTATTGATATCTGAGTTACCTGATCAATTAGAAGCTTTTGATGTCCATTTTAAGATGCAATGTTCTCAGAGTGTTGTGGGTATAATTTGTGGAGATGAATCTTTTTTAAGTCATTTTAATGCAGTAACATTAAAAGATGCTCTCCATCAGGAATTAGATGGACATGATGCATGCTTTTGTACATTTGGTGGCCAAACATTTGCAATCATATCCACACAAGAACAATATTTTATTTTTGATTCACATTCAAGAGATAGGCATGGACTTATGACAGATGGTGGGACCAGTGTCATTCTATGTTTATCAAACTGGGAAGGTGTGTACGATCATATTTTGAAATTAGCTGAATCTATGGGTATCAATAGAAACCAGACTGAATTTGAACTTACAGGTATAATTGTGAATCTTATCAATTCAAGCGAGATTACTGTGACAGAACATGGTGATAATGGTCATGTGGCAAAAGATGAACAGGACTGTATAAATGTAGTTGAAGGTAATGATGGATTTTTCTTGCCAACAGATAGAACTGACAAAAGTAATAGATGTGTTCCCACAAATGTGCCTGATTCTATTGAAATCAATGAAGATGACTGCAATATTATTGATACTGAAAATGATCGGAATGATTGCAGATATTTCGCAAGCAGTTTTTCGACAGATATGTCTGATTGTATTGAAATAGATGATGATGAGGATGACTGCATAATAATTGATGCAGAGCATGATACAAATTATTGCAAAGATTTGTTTAGTGGTGCTCCCTCAGATAGGCCTGATTCTATCAATATAGATGATGTTGATGATGATGACTGCATGGTAATTGATACAGAATACATTACAAATAACTACAAATATTTTCCAGTCCATTCAAGTGAAAAGAAAAAAATGTGTGCTAGATTTAATATTACAGATACATGTATCAGTTCGAAATCAGATATCGACACGTGCATTAATATTGGGACTCCTGCTATTATTTCAAATATTACTGGCGATGGAAATTGTTTTTACCGGGCAATCTCTCTTTTTCTGACAGGGAAGGAAGGCAATCACAAATTTCTGAGGCAAAAGTGTATCCAACATTTGCTGGAAAACTCACACTTATTTGCTGGTTGTTTAAGATATGAATTTTTATCAGTTAAAGACTATGTTAGTAAAAATAAGCCAGACATCAATGGTGAATGGGCCACAGAGGTAGAAATTGCCGTGATGGCCCATCTGCTTGAAACAGACATATTAATATTTAGTGATATTTATCTAAAGTGGAGACTATATTCATGGGATAACCCTGGACGCATTGTACATGAATCAAATATGGGCATTTATCTATTACATGTTAAAGGGGTCCATTTTGATTATGTTGAATCTGTTAATTGTATTGATTTGGTTACTGACGAAGGAAAAAAAACAAAGGAAGTTACATGTAATAAAAAGAGATCTATTAATAGTGAAATGCTTAAAGACAAAAGTAAACTATCCAAACAATATGCATCTTGTGCAACGAAGGATGAAATTGAAGAAACGTTTATGCCAAGTCTAAGCGGAAAAAGTGAAGACATTTTTATGTCCAAAAGAAAGAGAAAAGGTGACACAATTCATGAAAGTGTAAAGTGTGCTAACTCGAAAAAGATGTCTTTTCCAAAAATGCATAGATATTGTAAAACAAAAGAACCAAAACTGGAAAACGATGAGAGAGATAAAAAATCAGCTTCTAAAATTACAAGTTATCCATCAGACAATTGTAATACTATGAATAGAGGTGTTGCTGATGTTTTAAATAAAGGAAACGTGTTCATTGGAAATGACCCTTTAAAGATACGGAATGAAAAAATTGTATTGAAAAAAGTGTCAATTAGACTTGTACGTTTATCTGAATCTGAAATAAAGAAACTGTCATTTGATCTATTGAAAGGTATGAAGAAAACACAATCTAGTGCTAACTTTCAAGGTACAAATATTCCAGTAAAAGGGTCTACAATTGAATTTCCTATAAAACAAATTAAAAAAGAAAAGAAGAAAAGCAAATGTAAGCAGTCCTTAAAAAAACGACAACAATTAGCTAAAGAAAGGATGAAAGCAAAACGAAAACAAATTAATGATCATGATGCATACGAAAATGTACAAAACGATGAGAATTATGCAAGTGACATGGATGGTTGCAAATTCAAAGGAGATTTCAGTGATGTAAAGAAGACAAAAATGAAACATAAGTATCACTGTAACAAAAGTTTCAGAGATGAAAAGAAGAAAAAGATTAAACAGAAGTATCAGTCTGACGAATCTTTCAGAGATGAACACAAGCAAAAAATAAAGCATAAGTATCAGTCTAATACATTGTTTAGAGATGAACAAAAGAAGAAATTTAATTTGAAATATCAGTCTAATACAGTGTTTAAAGATGAACACAAAAAAAAAATGAAAAAAAAAATAAAGCATGACTATAAGTCTAATAAATCCTTTAGAGATGAACACAAGATGAAAATACAATCAAAATATGTGTCTAATACATTGTTTAGAGATGAACACAAAAAGAAAATAAGATTGAAATATGAGTCTAATACATTGTTTAGAGATGAACACAAGATGAAAATACAATCAAAATATGAGTCTAATACATTGTTTAGAGATAAACACAAAAAGAAACTAAAATTAAAATATGAGTCTAATACATTGTTTAGAGATGAACACAAAAAGAAAATAAGATTGAAATATGAGTCTAATACATTGTTTAGAGATGAACACAAAAAGAAACTAAAATTAAAATATGAGTCTAATACATTGTTTAGAGATGAACAAAAAAAACAAAAAAAACATAAGTATCAGTCTAACCAGCATTATAGGCAGAGACTTGCAGACAAAAATAAAGAACGTGCTGGACTTAAGAAAATGAGTTTCAAAAAATTAGAAAATGTACTCAGAAATTTCAGAAATGTTATTTCTCATGGACCAGAATATGTCTGTTGTGTATGTCTAAAATTGCTTTTTCAAAGTCAAGTCTTAAAATGCATTAAACAAAATTACCAAAACAAAACGTGTATGAATGAGTCCTATCTACACATTTGCAATTCACACTGTAATGAAAACTGTCAATTGGCACACTCATCTCGTGGACATTTATGGATATGCTTTACATGCCACAGAAAATTGTTGGTGAATAAATTACCAGCTGAGGCTAGTGTTAACAGTTTGCAATTGCATGAGATTCCAGAAGAATTGAAGGACTTGAATAATTTAGAGCAACATTTAATTGCACGTAACATAAGTTTTTTCAAATTAATCCGTTTACCTAAGGGAGGTCAAAATGCAGTTCATGGACCAGTTGTTTGTGTGCCTTCGAATACAATGAAAACTGTAAATATGCTACCTCCACCAGAAAGAGAAGATCAATTAATCCGTGTGAAATTAAAAAGGAAAATATCTTATAAGGGCCATCACGAGTATAAATTCGTTAATAAAATTAAGGTGCTAAATGGGTTGCACTATTTGAAGAAAAACAATAAGTGGTATTCTGATATAAGTATTAATGAAAACTGGAATAATTCGTTGTCAGGAGAAATGTGTAGTGCAGAAACAAACGACAATGACGATTCAATTCAAAACTTTGAAGAACAGGAAAATGATGACCAAGAAGCAAGGTTAAATGGAATTCAACTTGATACCTGCTTGCAACCAGTTGATATTGGACAAGAAATCCTTGATCAACATTTTGATGATATTTTCTGTTGTGCTCCATGTGAAGGCAACAATCCCATAGCACTTCTTAGAGATGAAAGCAATGAACCTAAATCTTTTCCTGTATTATTTCCAAAAGGTCAACCAACTTATCATGATTTCAGAAGTGTACGGGTGACCCTTGGAAGATATCTTCAAAATAGGCTAATGCACGTAGATAATCGCTTTGCTAAAAGTACAGATTTTATTTTTTATGCTCAGTGCATTTATGAAATTCAACAAGTTTTGTCCGGTGTTTCAATTGCATTGAGAAAAACATCAAGTAAAAGTGATACTGATGCACCAATCACTATCAAAGATTTAAAACAAATTGACAAAGTTCAAGACATTTTAAAATCAGATAGAGGGTTTCGCTTTCTGAAACAGATAAGAGGTTCTCCTCCATATTGGTCTGCCACACAGAAAGATTTATTAGCCATGGTGAGACAGCTTGGTATACCTACATGGTTTGCAAGTTTCTCGGCAGCAGACATGAGATGGCCTGAAGTATTAAATACTTTATTAATGGAAAGAGGTGATAAACGAAAAATCAATGACCTAGATTGGACAGATAAATGTGAACTTTTAAAGTCGAATCCAGTGACTGTTGCAAGAATGTTTGACAAAAGATTTCACACTTTTTTGAAAAATGTTATTTTGTCTGAAGCACATCCCATTGGTCATGTAATAGATTATTTTTATCGTGTTGAATTCCAACAGCGAGGATCTCCACACACACATTGTTTATTCTGGGTAAAGGATGCACCAGAGCATGGATATAGTTCAGATGATGAAGTAGTTTCCTTTATTGATAAATACATTTCTTGCAAGATACCATCCGAACAAGAAGATCCAGAACTCCATGAAATAATCACTCATGTACAGCAGCATAGCAAAAAGCATTCAAAATCATGTAAAAAGAAGGGAAAAACATGTCGGTTCAATTTTCCAAGACCACCATCTGATAGAACATGTGTACTTTATCCCAAAGAGGGTAATCCCGATGAAATTGATAGTGCAAAAAAATTATTAGAATCTATCAAAAACGCTGTAAATCAGGAAAATAATTACACTAATGTCTCAGACCTTTTTAAAGATTGTAACACAACACAGACTGAATTTGAAACTGCAACTAGGTTATTAGCTAAACAAGAAATTTTGATCAAGAAAAGAGACCCCAAAGATGTATGGATAAATCAGTACAATCCTTTTCTACTGAGAGCATGGAATGCAAATATGGACTTACAATTTGTTATGGATGTTTATGCATGTGTTAGATACATTGTATCATACATTTCAAAATCAGAGAGAGAAATGGGAATGCTCTTAAGCCATGCTCAATCTGAAATAAATGAGGGAAATCATGATGCAAGAAAAAGTATCAGACAGCTCGGAAATGTCTACATGCAAAATCGAGAAGTATCTGCACAGGAGAGTGTGTATCGTGTATGTTCCCTTCGATTAAAAGAGTGTTCACGAAACGTAGAATTTATTCCAGTTGGTCCAAATCCTGTTAGAATGAGTTTACCTTTACATGTTATTCAAAGTAGACCTGACGATGATGATGATGATAGGAGTCCATGGATGGCAAATAAACTTGATCGATATAAAGCTAGACCTAATGGAAGTGAATTTGACACTATGTGTCTTGCAAAATTCTGCGCATGTTACAGAATACTAACTGCATCGCAAGTGAAAGGCACTAAAACATCACCATATTTATTTGAATTGAAAAATAATTCGGGATACATTCAGAAACGAACAAGGTCTAGTGCTGCTGTCGTAAGATATCCACGATTTTCTAAAATACTTTCTCCAGAAAAATATTACCTCAGTATATTGCAACTTTTCCTGCCATTTAGTAATGATGAGCAGTTAAAACCACCACAGTTTGAGACATATCAGGAATTTTATAAAACAGGTAATGTCAAACTACAGGGAGGCAATTTGGAAAGTGTAAAATCAATAGTAGACAAACATTGTAAAGAGTACGAAAGAAATTCAAGAGCCATTGAACAAGCTGAACTTTTCATGGACAAATTTGGTCCTCCAGAAGATGCGTGGGCTCTTTTATGTCCTGAAAGTGAAAAAGAAAGACTAGAAAATCCTAAGAACAAAGTTGAAATGGATGAACCAGAATGTGAATTGGACATTCCAGATTTCAAACATGAAAAAAAGAATGAAACTTCTAGTGTGGAATTTCGAAGCCATGGAATTTCAAAACATGAATCGAATAGTTTGATTCGATGTTTAAACAATGAGCAAAAAGAAATCTTTTACAAAATTAGACAATGGTGCTTAGAGAAAGTGAATGGTACAGAAAGTCAACCTTTTCATGTACTTATTAGTGGTGGTGCAGGAACAGGAAAATCTTATTTAATAAAATGTATATACCACGAAGTTGTACGCATACTTGGTAAAATGATGGTTAATCCTGATGACATTTCAATCTTGAAAGTTGCACCAACTGGCATAGCTGCATTCAATATAGAAGGATCTACAATTCACAGTGCGCTATCAGTTCCAATCTCAGCCAAATTTCCTTATCGACCACTTGGTGAAGAAAAAATTAACACCCTTCGTAATAAGCTTGGACAGTTGCAAATTTTGATCATAGATGAAATTTCCATGGTAGATTCCAAATTGCTGTACTACATACACGGTCGATTAAGACAAATTAAGCAATCACGCACTGATTGTCCATTCGGTAACGTTTCGGTACTGGCAGTTGGAGATTTCTACCAATTACCACCTGTGAACGGAAAACCCTTGTATAAGGAATCGGTAGAACAATCGCTGTGGTCTGAAAATTTCAAAAAGGTAGAACTGGTTGAAATAATGAGACAAAAGGAAGATTTGGCATTTGCTCTACTCTTGAATAGATTGAGAGTTAAGGAAAAGAAAGACACTTTATCAGATGCAGATTTATCAATCCTTACCTCTTGTGAAACTGGTGAACAATGTGAAGAAGATATGCACATCTATTCAACTAATAAACAAGTAAATGAATGGAATAGCAGAATGTTGCACAGTAAATGTGAAGATATTATATGTGTTAAAGCTCAAGACAGAAATAACAGCAAGGATAATGACGAAATATGTACCGAACCATGTAAATCTAGTCAAAGTTCTTTGCCTAGCAATCTGTCAATTGCTTTGAATGCCAGGGTGATGCTTTTAAAAAATATTGATACCAATATAGGTTTGACAAATGGATGTATAGGTACAGTTGCAGAAATATTAAAACAAAACAACGAATCCAAGCCATACTGCATCAGTGTAAAATTTGATAGCCAGAAAATTGGCATTCAATCAATCAAAATGTATGAAGAATCAATGGGTAAAAATTACACAAGAAAGCAATTTCCCCTCAAACTGGCTTATGCTTGCACGGTTCACAAAGTACAAGGCATGACTTTAAATAAAGTAGTAGTATCACTGAAAAAAATATTTGCATCTGGACATAGCTATGTAGGCCTGAGTCGTGTAACTTCTTTATCTGGACTTACCATTGAAGATTTTCATCCAAAAGTTATATACTGTGATCCAAAGATTAAAAAACACCTTAATGATATGACCAATTTCTTGGAAACTTCTATAGCAGAGGAAACATATGATGATGGTTTATGCATAATGTTGCACAATATTCAAGGATTAAAACAACATTATGTAGACTTACAATGCAATCCAACATTCCTGAATTCTGATATTATTTGTTTGACTGAAACATGGCTATCGGATAAGGATGATCTTTTTGAATTATTCTTAGCTCATTTCAAATTGTATCATCAATCAAGATATAACTCTTATTCTATCACAAGTGATTCAAGGCAACAATTCAAGGACCAGTCACATGGAGGTGTTGCAGTTTATAGCAAGAATAAATTTTCAAGCAGACTTGATATAAAGATTGATAATCTAGAGTTTATTGCTTTTCTTATAACCTCTCCTGTTTCTGTTGTCATTGCAGTTGTTTATCGTCCTCCGACATACAGAATGAAAGACTTCTGTGAGTGTTTGAATAACTTATTAGAAGAGCTACATAAAGTGGGTACAAAATGTATTGTTATGGGCGACTTCAATGATAACTTATTGAAACAGTCATCTAGAATACAAGACTTGATGTGTAATCATGGCTATACACAACATGTAAAGCAATCAACCACTGAAGGTGATACTTTGATTGACCATGTATACAGCAAAGGTCTACCGTTGGTTGAAACACAAGTGATTCCTATTTATTATAGTTACCATGAAGCAATTAAAATAAAGCTCTTTCACATTTGACTTTTTTGATTTTTCAATCGTATCACAAGGTGATCCTTAGCTGTTAATCTAAACTACTCAAGACTTTATTTTGTTGAAGATTAAGATTAGGGTTGGTATTGGGTTCAAGGTTAGTTCTTTTAACTAAGTGAGCATTAGGTATAGTGTTTGGTCCTGAGCTGAATTCGGGATTTGGTTGATGTAGAAAATTTGACCACGGACTTCCGGTAATCATCTTTGGAGCATTTTCACTTTCTCTGATTGAAGCTTTCTCAGACCTAATCCTCATTACATTAATAAATAAAATTTAAACTGAATTCGACCTCCACCACAAACGGGAGCGACACTACCACCCCAGAGATCACGTTTTGTCCCTGTAACGTCTTCGTCCAGGCTACGTCCTGTGCCAGCAGTGCCACGGCCTCCTGGGACATCCCTACAGCTACGGACGCCTCAGAACCCATCACAGCAGTCGGTAACTTCTCGCCTGGTGATTCCTTTGATGTTGGCACTTATCTGGTCATCTATTACCTTATCGATAAGGTTTGAAGTCACTGTCACTTCAAGTGGAGGTCAGTGATTTTCCTTTAATAATTTTAAAGATTTGTTTTGGGAGTGTAAGACATTATTGTGAAATCTTGCTTTGAAAAAAAAAAACTTGTTTTAACTGACCCATTTATGTATAGAGTACCAAGGTGTGACGTCATACTGGCCACATTGTCAAGGTTGCTGGTTTCAAACAATTTGTGCTAAACCATGATGTGGTGATCACACCGGTGCCAAACACTGACTTTGCCCTGCTCCAGCTTGTTGTATAAATGATTGTGCCTTGAACCTCATTGACGGGCTCTGTTTAAAACCAGTAACCCGGATGACAAGTAAACATGAAGTTAATACTTTACTCTATTACAGCAACTGTTTGGTTCAAATTCTTCCTGCATAAAAACATGTTGCTATGTTTGGCATTTGTCTGTGTTTCGTGAGCAGATTAGAATTGTAAAAATGTAGGTAGTGAAATGATTAAAATTTGTACCAAATCTGAGGAGATGAATGTTCACTGTATCTCTGGATAGAGGAAGCAACTTATATTTTTTGAAAATGGAGGCTGCATGTACATATTCCCTATCTCTGATATCATTTTCATCCAATTTCTTTGTCACAGTGGTCATTTACAGAGAGAACCCCGTCCTGACAGGCTATCCAACCGACATCGTCGCCAATGCCAGCCCTGGTACCTCGACCCCGGTGGTTTCATGGCTGGCTCCTGTGGCATCAGACAACTGACGCCACTACCCTGACGGTCAACCAACAACTACCAGGCAGTTCCTTCGCTGTTGGATCTACTGAGGTCACCTACACAGCTAGGTATGGATTGTTAGAAAGACAGAGCCAAGCTGTGTTATTGCTAGAAGTTGCAAGGGAACAAATAACGAGGGTACTGACTAGAACTATTTTATTTTTTGGGTACCATAGGATTTTTGTTATCAGTCTTCTCTTTGAATGTCCGAATTTAGACCTATGCGCAGTACAAATCGGGGGAAAAGTGGATAAAGGCGATATGCCATTTAAAGAGATATTCTTGCTTCATTCGATATGCCATTTAAAGAGATATTCTTGCTTCATTATGATTCATCAAGGAACGATTTATCCAGGAACGGATGGCACCCGACCATCCTTCTTCAACTGGCCAAGCAACATCGACGTGACCGTCCCCTTCGGTAGCAGCCCAACTACCGTCAGCTGGACCGAGCCCATTGGTGTAGCCAGCGTTGCGGCCTCACAGAGCTCTGGATCTTTCTTTGTCGTGGGATACACTAACGTGGCGTACACCGCCACAGACCCAAGCAGCAACTTCGAAAGCTGCTCTTTCTCTGTCACCCTCACAGGTAGGTGGGAACTTGTGTTTAGAAGAGATTGTGGTTGAAAGGGAGTAAAGATACAAGCAAAAATGTTGATGTTTTAGAAAACTCAGATACATACACGTGTTAAAGTGTACCAATCGCCTGAAGAATAAAAATATTGGGTATCACTGGAATATGTAAGATCAGCCGAACAAAAATTTCTAGGTATTTTACAAAATAAAGGAGTATGACTATAAAGACCATAAAGGGTAACAAACAAACCAATAGAACAGAGTGAGCAAAGAACTGAAGTCCGACTTGGGTTCCATGTGTGCCCTATTCAAATGTAATCTTGCTACCGAAATACAGGTACTTGTTAATGCTCAGTACAGATCAGGGGAAAAGTGTAAAGGTTATATGCCATTTAAAGATATATTCTTTCTTCATTATGATTCATCAAGCAACGATTTATCCAGGAACGGATGGCACCCGACCATCCTTCCTCAACTGGCCAAGAAACATCGATGAGACCGTCCCCTTCGGTAGCAGCCCAACTACCGTCAGCTGGACCGAGCCCATTGGTGTAGCCAGCGTTGCAGCCTCACAGAGCTCTGGATCTTTCTTTGTCGTGGGATACACTAACGTGGCGTACAACGCCACAGACCCAAGCAGCAACTTCGAAAGCTGCTCTTTCTCTGTCACCCTCACAGGTAGGTGGGAACTTGTGTTCGGAGGAGAGTAAGGTTAAAAGGGAGGAAAGATAGAAGCAAAATTTTTTAATGTTTTAGAAGACTCAGATACATACACGTGTTAAGTGTACCAATCGCCGGAAAAATAATCTTGTGTATCACTGGAATATATAAGATCAGCCGAACAAAAATTTCTAGATATTTTACACAATGAAGGAGTATGACTATGACGACAAAAAAGGGTAACAAACAAACCAATAGAACAGAGTGAGCAAAGAACTAAAGTCCGAATTGGGTTCCATGTGTGCCCTATTCAAGTGTAATCTTGCTACCGAAATACAAGTACTTGTTTATGCTCAGTACAGATTAGGGGAAAAGTGTAAAGGTTATATGCCATTTAAAGATATATTCTTTCTTCATTATGATTCATCAAGCAACGATTTATCCAGGAACGGATGGCACCCGACCATCCTTCCTCAACTGGTAAAAAAACATCGATGAGACCGTCCCCTTCGGTAGCAGCCCAACTACCGTCAGCTGGACCGAGCCCATTGGTATAGCCAGCGTTGCGGCCTCACAGAGCTCTGGATCTTTCTTTGTCGTGGGATACACTAACGTGGCGTACAACGCCACAGACCCAAGCAGCAACTTCGAAAGCTGCTCTTTCTCTGTCACCCTCACAGGTAGGTGGGAACTTGTGTTTAGAAGAGATTGTGGTTGAAAGAGAGTAAAGATACAAGCAAAAATGTTGATGTTTTAGAAAACTCAGATACATACACGTGTTAAAGTGTACCAATCGCCTGAAGAATAAAAATATTGGGTATCACTGGAATATATAAGATCAGCCGAACAATTTTTTTTAGGTATTTTACAAAATAAAGGAGTATGACTATAAAGACAATAAAGGGTAACAAACAAACCAATAGAACAGAGTGAGCAAAGAACTGAAGTCATTTTGCATTCCAGTTGCGTCTTTTCTACCCCTACAATTCGCTAAGCTACCTTATCATAATTCTAAACTTCAACTCTGGACCAAAGGAACCTAACCGAAATCAAAATCATCTTAAATTTTCATTTTTAACCTATCGTTTTGTGCAAAATAGCATATGTGACAAACAAGCAAAGGTCATAACAAAAGTGTTGAAAATAAGCTCTTAATATGATTGTAATAAACTTGCTGATTTTCCTTAGACAACACAGCCCCAGTCACCTCCAACTGCCCTGCATCCCAAACTATCACCTGGACCGAAACCCATCTTTACCAAAATCTCGGGTGCGGCCGCCGTCACTAGCAACTTCAACTCCAGCTCCTCTTATTTTTCTTATCAGTCTTCCCTTTGAATGTCCTGATTTAGACCTATGCTCAGTACAGATCAGGGAAAAAGTGTAAAGGTTATATGCCATTTAAAGATATATTCTTTCTTCATTATGATTCATCAAGCAACGATTTATCCAGGAACGGATGGCACCCGACCATCCTTCCTCAACTGGCCAAGAAACATCGATGAGACCGTCCCCTTCGGTAGCAGCCCAACTACCGTCAGCTGGACCGAGCCCATTGGTGTAGCCAGCGTTGCGGCCTCACAGAGCTCTGGATCTTTCTTTGTCGTGGGATACACTAACGTGGCGTACACCGCCACAGACCCAAGCAGCAACTTCGAAAGCTGCTCTTTCTCTGTCACCCTCACAGGTAGGTGGGAACTTGTGTTTAGAAGAGATTGTGGTTGAAAGGGAGTAAAGATACAAGCAAAAATGTTGATGTTTTAGAAAACTCAGATACATACACGTGTTAAAGTGTACCAATCGCCTGAAGAATAAAAATATTGGGTATCACTGGAATATGTAAGATCAGCCGAACAAAAATTTCTAGGTATTTTACAAAATAAAGGAGTATGACTATAAAGACCATAAAGGGTAACAAACAAACCAATAGAACAGAGTGAGCAAAGAACTGAAGTCCGACTTGGGTTCCATGTGTGCCCTATTCAAATGTAATCTTGCTACCGAAATACAGGTACTTGTTAATGCTCAGTACAGATCAGGGGAAAAGTGTAAAGGTTATATGCCATTTAAAGATATATTCTTTCTTCATTATGATTCATCAAGCAACGATTTATCCAGGAACGGATGGCACCCGACCATCCTTCCTCAACTGGCCAAGAAACATCGATGAGACCGTCCCCTTCGGTAGCAGCCCAACTACCGTCAGCTGGACCGAGCCCATTGGTGTAGCCAGCGTTGCGGCCTCACAGAGCTCTGGATCTTTCTTTGTCGTGGGATACACTAACGTGGCGTACACCGCCACAGACCCAAGCAGCAACTTCGAAAGCTGCTCTTTCTCTGTCACCCTCACAGGTAGGTGGGAACTTGTGTTTAGAAGAGATTGTGGTTGAAAGGGAGTAAAGATACAAGCAAAAATGTTGATGTTTTAGAAAACTCAGATACATACACGTGTTAAAGTGTACCAATCGCCTGAAGAATAAAAATATTGGGTATCACTAGAATATATAAGATCAGCCGAACAAAAATTTCTAGGTATTTAACAAAATAAAGGAGTATGACTATGAAGACAATAAAGGGTAACAAACAAACCAATAGAACAGAGTGAGCAAAGAACTGAAGTCCGACTTGGGTTCCATGTGTGCCCTATTCAAATGTAATCTTGCTACCGAAATACAAGTACTTGTTAATGCTCAGTACAGATCAGGGGAAAAGTGTAAAGGTTATATGCCATTTAAAGATATATTCTTTCTTCATTATGATTCATCAAGCAACGATTTATCCAGGAACGGATGGCACCCGACCATCCTTCCTCAACTGGCCAAGAAACATCGATGAGACCGTCCCCTTCGGTAGCAGCCCAACTACCGTCAGCTGGACCGAGCCCATTGGTGTAGCCAGCGTTGCAGCCTCACAGAGCTCTGGATCTTTCTTTGTCGTGGGATACACTAACGTGGCGTACAACGCCACAGACCCAAGCAGCAACTTCGAAAGCTGCTCTTTCTCTGTCACCCTCACAGGTAGGTGGGAACTTGTGTTCGGAGGAGAGTAAGGTTAAAAGGGAGGAAAGATAGAAGCAAAATTTTTTAATGTTTTAGAAGACTCAGATACATACACGTGTTAAGTGTACCAATCGCCGGAAAAATAATCTTGTGTATCACTGGAATATATAAGATCAGCCGAACAAAAATTTCTAGATATTTTACACAATGAAGGAGTATGACTATGACGACAAAAAAGGGTAACAAACAAACCAATAGAACAGAGTGAGCAAAGAACTAAAGTCCGAATTGGGTTCCATGTGTGCCCTATTCAAGTGTAATCTTGCTACCGAAATACAAGTAGTTGTTTATGCTCAGTACAGATTAGGGGAAAAGTGTAAAGGTGATATGCCATTTAAATCGATATTCTTGCTTCATTATGATTCATCAAGGAACGATTTATCCAGGAACGGATGGCACCCGACCATCCTTCCTCATCTGGCCAAGCAAGATCGACGTGACCGTCCCCTTCGGTAGCAGCCCAACTACCGTCAGCTGGACCGATCCCATTGGTGTAGCCAGCGTTGCGGCCCCACAGAGCTCTGGATCTTTCTTTGTCGTGGGATACACTAACGTGGCGTACACCGCCACAGACCCAAGCAGCAACTTCGAAAGCTGCTCTTTCTCTGTCACCCTCACAGGTAGGTGGGAACTTGTGTTCGGAGGAGAGTAAGGTTAAAAGGGAGGAAAGATAGAAGCAAAATTTTTTAATGTTTTAGAAGACTCAGATACATACACGTGTTAAGTGTACCAATCGCCGGAAAAATAATCTTGTGTATCACTGGAATATATAAGATCAGCCGAACAAAAATTTCTAGATATTTTACACAATGAAGGAGTATGACTATGACGACAAAAAAGGGTAACAAACAAACCAATAGAACAGAGTGAGCAAAGAACTAAAGTCCGAATTGGGTTCCATGTGTGCCCTATTCAAGTGTAATCTTGCTACCGAAATACAAGTACTTGTTTATGCTCAGTACAGATTAGGGGAAAAGTGTAAAGGTTATATGCCATTTAAAGATATATTCTTTCTTCATTATGATTCATCAAGCAACGATTTATCCAGGAACGGATGGCACCCGACCATCCTTCCTCAACTGGTAAAAAAACATCGATGAGACCGTCCCCTTCGGTAGCAGCCCAACTACCGTCAGCTGGACCGAGCCCATTGGTATAGCCAGCGTTGCGGCCTCACAGAGCTCTGGATCTTTCTTTGTCGTGGGATACACTAACGTGGCGTACAACGCCACAGACCCAAGCAGCAACTTCGAAAGCTGCTCTTTCTCTGTCACCCTCACAGGTAGGTGGGAACTTGTGTTTAGAAGAGATTGTGGTTGAAAGAGAGTAAAGATACAAGCAAAAATGTTGATGTTTTAGAAAACTCAGATACATACACGTGTTAAAGTGTACCAATCGCCTGAAGAATAAAAATATTGGGTATCACTGGAATATATAAGATCAGCCGAACAATTTTTTTTAGGTATTTTACAAAATAAAGGAGTATGACTATAAAGACAATAAAGGGTAACAAACAAACCAATAGAACAGAGTGAGCAAAGAACTGAAGTCATTTTGCATTCCAGTTGCGTCTTTTCTACCCCTACAATTCGCTAAGCTACCTTATCATAATTCTAAACTTCAACTCTGGACCAAAGGAACCTAACCGAAATCAAAATCATCTTAAATTTTCATTTTTAACCTATCGTTTTGTGCAAAATAGCATATGTGACAAACAAGCAAAGGTCATAACAAAAGTGTTGAAAATAAGCTCTTAATATGATTGTAATAAACTTGCTGATTTTCCTTAGACAACACAGCCCCAGTCACCTCCAACTGCCCTGCATCCCAAACTATCACCTGGACCGAAACCCATCTTTACCAAAATCTCGGGTGCGGCCGCCGTCACTAGCAACTTCAACTCCAGCTCCTCTTATTTTTCTTATCAGTCTTCCCTTTGAATGTCCTGATTTAGACCTATGCTCAGTACAGATCAGGGAAAAAGTGTAAAGGTTATATGCCATTTAAAGATATATTCTTTCTTCATTATGATTCATCAAGCAACGATTTATCCAGGAACGGATGGCACCCGACCATCCTTCCTCAACTGGCCAAGAAACATCGATGAGACCGTCCCCTTCGGTAGCAGCCCAACTACCGTCAGCTGGACCGAGCCCATTGGTGTAGCCAGCGTTGCGGCCTCACAGAGCTCTGGATCTTTCTTTGTCGTGGGATACACTAACGTGGCGTACACCGCCACAGACCCAAGCAGCAACTTCGAAAGCTGCTCTTTCTCTGTCACCCTCACAGGTAGGTGGGAACTTGTGTTTAGAAGAGATTGTGGTTGAAAGGGAGTAAAGATACAAGCAAAAATGTTGATGTTTTAGAAAACTCAGATACATACACGTGTTAAAGTGTACCAATCGCCTGAAGAATAAAAATATTGGGTATCACTGGAATATGTAAGATCAGCCGAACAAAAATTTCTAGGTATTTTACAAAATAAAGGAGTATGACTATAAAGACCATAAAGGGTAACAAACAAACCAATAGAACAGAGTGAGCAAAGAACTGAAGTCCGACTTGGGTTCCATGTGTGCCCTATTCAAATGTAATCTTGCTACCGAAATACAGGTACTTGTTAATGCTCAGTACAGATCAGGGGAAAAGTGTAAAGGTTATATGCCATTTAAAGATATATTCTTTCTTCATTATGATTCATCAAGCAACGATTTATCCAGGAACGGATGGCACCCGACCATCCTTCCTCAACTGGCCAAGAAACATCGATGAGACCGTCCCCTTCGGTAGCAGCCCAACTACCGTCAGCTGGACCGAGCCCATTGGTGTAGCCAGCGTTGCAGCCTCACAGAGCTCTGGATCTTTCTTTGTCGTGGGATACACTAACGTGGCGTACAACGCCACAGACCCAAGCAGCAACTTCGAAAGCTGCTCTTTCTCTGTCACCCTCACAGGTAGGTGGGAACTTGTGTTCGGAGGAGAGTAAGGTTAAAAGGGAGGAAAGATAGAAGCAAAATTTTTTAATGTTTTAGAAGACTCAGATACATACACGTGTTAAGTGTACCAATCGCCGGAAAAATAATCTTGTGTATCACTGGAATATATAAGATCAGCCGAACAAAAATTTCTAGATATTTTACACAATGAAGGAGTATGACTATGACGACAAAAAAGGGTAACAAACAAACCAATAGAACAGAGTGAGCAAAGAACTAAAGTCCGAATTGGGTTCCATGTGTGCCCTATTCAAGTGTAATCTTGCTACCGAAATACAAGTACTTGTTTATGCTCAGTACAGATCAGGGGAAAAGTGTAAAGGTTATATGCCATTTAAAGATATATTCTTTCTTCATTATGATTCATCAAGCAACGATTTATCCAGGAACGGATGGCACCCGACCATCCTTCCTCAACTGGTAAAAAAACATCGATGAGACCGTCCCCTTCGGTAGCAGCCCAACTACCGTCAGCTGGACCGAGCCCATTGGTATAGCCAGCGTTGCGGCCTCACAGAGCTCTGGATCTTTCTTTGTCGTGGGATACACTAACGTGGCGTACAACGCCACAGACCCAAGCAGCAACTTCGAAAGCTGCTCTTTCTCTGTCACCCTCACAGGTAGGTGGGAACTTGTGTTTAGAAGAGATTGTGGTTGAAAGAGAGTAAAGATACAAGCAAAAATGTTGATGTTTTAGAAAACTCACATACATACACGTGTTAAAGTGTACCAATCGCCTGAAGAATAAAAATATTGGGTATCACTGGAATATATAAGATCAGCCGAACAATTTTTTTTAGGTATTTTACAAAATAAAGGAGTATGACTATAAAGACAATAAAGGGTAACAAACAAACCAATAGAACAGAGTGAGCAAAGAACTGAAGTCATTTTGCATTCCAGTTGCGTCTTTTCTACCCCTACAATTCGCTAAGCTACCTTATCATAATTCTAAACTTCAACTCTGGACCAAAGGAACCTAACCGAAATCAAAATCATCTTAAATTTTCATTTTTAACCTATCGTTTTGTGCAAAATAGCATATGTGACAAACAAGCAAAGGTCATAACAAAAGTGTTGAAAATAAGCTCTTAATATGATTGTAATAAACTTGCTGATTTTCCTTAGACAACACAGCCCCAGTCACCTCCAACTGCCCTGCATCCCAAACTATCACCTGGACCGAAACCCATCTTTACCAAAATCTCGGGTGCGGCCGCCGTCACTAGCAACTTCAACTCCAGCTCCTCTTATTTTTCTTATCAGTCTTCCCTTTGAATGTCCTGATTTAGACCTATGCTCAGTACAGATCAGGGAAAAAGTGTAAAGGTTATATGCCATTTAAAGATATATTCTTTCTTCATTATGATTCATCAAGCAACGATTTATCCAGGAACGGATGGCACCCGACCATCCTTCCTCAACTGGCCAAGAAACATCGATGAGACCGTCCCCTTCGGTAGCAGCCCAACTACCGTCAGCTGGACCGAGCCCATTGGTGTAGCCAGCGTTGCGGCCTCACAGAGCTCTGGATCTTTCTTTGTCGTGGGATACACTAACGTGGCGTACACCGCCACAGACCCAAGCAGCAACTTCGAAAGCTGCTCTTTCTCTGTCACCCTCACAGGTAGGTGGGAACTTGTGTTTAGAAGAGATTGTGGTTGAAAGGGAGTAAAGATACAAGCAAAAATGTTGATGTTTTAGAAAACTCAGATACATACACGTGTTAAAGTGTACCAATCGCCTGAAGAATAAAAATATTGGGTATCACTAGAATATATAAGATCAGCCGAACAAAAATTTCTAGGTATTTAACAAAATAAAGGAGTATGACTATGAAGACAATAAAGGGTAACAAACAAACCAATAGAACAGAGTGAGCAAAGAACTGAAGTCCGACTTGGGTTCCATGTGTGCCCTATTCAAATGTAATCTTGCTACCGAAATACAAGTACTTGTTAATGCTCAGTACAGATCAGGGGAAAAGTGTAAAGGTTATATGCCATTTAAAGATATATTCTTTCTTCATTATGATTCATCAAGCAACGATTTATCCAGGAACGGATGGCACCCGACCATCCTTCCTCAACTGGCCAAGAAACATCGATGAGACCGTCCCCTTCGGTAGCAGCCCAACTACCGTCAGCTGGACCGAGCCCATTGGTGTAGCCAGCGTTGCAGCCTCACAGAGCTCTGGATCTTTCTTTGTCGTGGGATACACTAACGTGGCGTACAACGCCACAGACCCAAGCAGCAACTTCGAAAGCTGCTCTTTCTCTGTCACCCTCACAGGTAGGTGGGAACTTGTGTTCGGAGGAGAGTAAGGTTAAAAGGGAGGAAAGATAGAAGCAAAATTTTTTAATGTTTTAGAAGACTCAGATACATACACGTGTTAAGTGTACCAATCGCCGGAAAAATAATCTTGTGTATCACTGGAATATATAAGATCAGCCGAACAAAAATTTCTAGATATTTTACACAATGAAGGAGTATGACTATGACGACAAAAAAGGGTAACAAACAAACCAATAGAACAGAGTGAGCAAAGAACTAAAGTCCGAATTGGGTTCCATGTGTGCCCTATTCAAGTGTAATCTTGCTACCGAAATACAAGTAGTTGTTTATGCTCAGTACAGATTAGGGGAAAAGTGTAAAGGTGATATGCCATTTAAATCGATATTCTTGCTTCATTATGATTCATCAAGGAACGATTTATCCAGGAACGGATGGCACCCGACCATCCTTCCTCATCTGGCCAAGCAAGATCGACGTGACCGTCCCCTTCGGTAGCAGCCCAACTACCGTCAGCTGGACCGATCCCATTGGTGTAGCCAGCGTTGCGGCCCCACAGAGCTCTGGATCTTTCTTTGTCGTGGGATACACTAACGTGGCGTACACCGCCACAGACCCAAGCAGCAACTTCGAAAGCTGCTCTTTCTCTGTCACCCTCACAGGTAGGTGGGAACTTGTGTTTAGAAGAGATTGTGGTTGAAAGGGAGTAAAGATACAAGCAAAAATGTTGATGTTTTAGATAACTCAGATACATACACGTGTTAAAGTGTACCAATCGCCTGAAGAATAAAAATATTGGGTATCACTGGAATATATAAGATCAGCCGAACAATTTTTTTTAGGTATTTTACAAAATAAAGGAGTATGACTATAAAGACAATAAAGGGTAACAAACAAACCAATAGAACAGAGTGAGCAAAGAACTGAAGTCATTTTGCATTCCAGTTGCGTCTTTTCTACCCCTACAATTCGCTAAGCTACCTTATCATAATTCTAAACTTCAACTCTGGACCAAAGGAACCTAACCGAAATCAAAATCATCTTAAATTTTCATTTTTAACCTATCGTTTTGTGCAAAATAGCATATGTGACAAACAAGCAAAGGTCATAACAAAAGTGTTGAAAATAAGCTCTTAATATGATTGTAATAAACTTGCTGATTTTCCTTAGACAACACAGCCCCAGTCACCTCCAACTGCCCTGCATCCCAAACTATCACCTGGACCGAAACCCATCTTTACCAAAATCTCGGGTGCGGCCACCGTCACTAGCAACTTCAACTCCAGCTCCTCTTATTTTTCTTATCAGTCTTCCCTTTGAATGTCCTGATTTAGACCTATGCTCAGTACAGATCAGGGAAAAAGTGTAAAGGTTATATGCCATTTAAAGATATATTCTTTCTTCATTATGATTCATCAAGCAACGATTTATCCAGGAACGGATGGCACCCGACCATCCTTCCTCAACTGGCCAAGAAACATCGATGAGACCGTCCCCTTCGGTAGCAGCCCAACTACCGTCAGCTGGACCGAGCCCATTGGTGTAGCCAGCGTTGCGGCCTCACAGAGCTCTGGATCTTTCTTTGTCGTGGGATACACTAACGTGGCGTACACCGCCACAGACCCAAGCAGCAACTTCGAAAGCTGCTCTTTCTCTGTCACCCTCACAGGTAGGTGGGAACTTGTGTTTAGAAGAGATTGTTGTTGAAAGGGAGTAAAGATACAAGCAAAAATGTTGATGTTTTAGAAAACTCAGATACATACACGTGTTAAAGTGTACCAATCGCCTGAAGAATAAAAATATTGGGTATCACTAGAATATATAAGATCAGCCGAACAAAAATTTCTAGGTATTTAACAAAATAAAGGAGTATGACTATGAAGACAATAAAGGGTAACAAACAAACCAATAGAACAGAGTGAGCAAAGAACTGAAGTCCGACTTGGGTTCCATGTGTGCCCTATTCAAATGTAATCTTGCTACCGAAATACAAGTACTTGTTAATGCTCAGTACAGATCAGGGGAAAAGTGTAAAGGTTATATGCCATTTAAAGATATATTCTTTCTTCATTATGATTCATCAAGCAACGATTTATCCAGGAACGGATGGCACCCGACCATCCTTCCTCAACTGGCCAAGAAACATCGATGAGACCGTCCCCTTCGGTAGCAGCCCAACTACCGTCAGCTGGACCGAGCCCATTGGTGTAGCCAGCGTTGCGGCCTCACAGAGCTCTGGATCTTTCTTTGTCGTGGGATACACTAACGTGGCGTACAACGCCACAGACGCAAGCAGCAACTTCAAAAGCTGCTCTTTCTCTGTCACCCTCACAGGTAGGTGGGAACTTGTGTTCGGAGGAGAGTAAGGTTAAAAGGAAGGAAAGATAGAAGCAAAATTTTTTAATGTTTTAGAAGACTCAGATACATACACGTGTTAAGTGTACCAATCGCCGGAAAAATAATCTTGTGTATCACTGGAATATATAAGATCAGCCGAACAAAAATTTCTAGATATTTTACACAATGAAGGAGTATGACTATGACGACAAAAAAGGGTAACAAACAAACCAATAGAACAGAGTGAGCAAAGAACTAAAGTCCGAATTGGGTTCCATGTGTGCCCTATTCAAGTGTAATCTTGCTACCGAAATACAAGTAGTTGTTTATGCTCAGTACAGATTAGGGGAAAAGTGTAAAGGTGATATGCCATTTAAATCGATATTCTTGCTTCATTATGATTCATCAAGGAACGATTTATCCAGGAACGGATGGCACCCGACCATCCTTCCTCATCTGGCCAAGCAAGATCGACGTGACCGTCCCCTTCGGTAGCAGCCCAACTACCGTCAGCTGGACCGATCCCATTGGTGTAGCCAGCGTTGCGGCCCCACAGAGCTCTGGATCTTTGTTTGTCGTGGGATACACTAACGTGGCATACACCGCCACAGACCCAAGCAGCAACTTCAAAAGCTGCTCTTTGTCTGTCACCGTCACAGATAGGTAGGAACTTGTGTTTAGAAGAGATTGTGGTTAAAAGGGAGTAAAGATAAAAGCAAAAATGTTGATGTTTTAGAAATTTCAGATACATACACGTGTTAAAGTGTACCAATCGCCTGAAAATATAATCTTGTGTATCACTGGATTATATAAGATCAGCCAAACCATTTTTTTGATATATTTTACAAAATAAAGGAGTTTGACCATGAAGACTATAAAGGGTAACAAACAAACCAATAGAACAGAGTGAGCAAAGAACTGAAGTCGACTTGGGTTCCATGCTATCCTGTAATGTGTTATATGCTATAAAAGCACCGAGTTTTATTATTATTATTATTTAAGTGTAATCTTGCTACCAAAATACAAGTACTTGTCTATACAAAAGGCCATTGTTGCATTTGCATATCTCTACCTTCAATTTATCCGGACATGGCAACTTGATTTGATTGTAATAGTTTGGTTTGGCACCATCCATCTCGTAAGTTAGCAAGATCTGCAAGGCTTACAATCCTCTGTAAACAATATTTATTTCACCGCACCAGATGCCAACAGCATCAATGTCAACTTCGCTCCACCCACTGCGACAGACAACTCTGGATCCGTCAAGTGAACCTCCAATGAACCAGGAGATTAGTTTGCTATCAGAGTGCACACTGCACCTTCAGCGATGCTCAAGGACTTACAGCAAGCTGTAGCTTCTCTTTTGAAGTCCAAGGTAAACCCATGTCTGTAAACAAAGTATAGTCAAATCTGGCTTAGCAGCCACCTCTCTATAAGGGCCACCTTTTCTGTATGGGTCTTTAAAGGCAGGGCTCAACACCAATAGGCACCGCGACACATGGAGCCCAAAAATTCTGACCCCCTTCTAGAAAAATTGTTGTGAAGCCCTGTTATAGATTTACCAAGTATTAGGCACCTGTGAACATAAATTGACATCCAAACTACTGGTATTGTTTCCGTTGATGTCTGGTTTGCCCCAAGCTGTGAGGGGCATATTAACTTGTCTTATAAAAAGTTTTGATCAATAAATCACAACTCCAATCAAGTGCATGCTTACGAACTCGTTGTAGTACAGAGTTGAAATTGGTATCGAGTTGCTATCAATTTGCATGAACCACATCTGTTTATGTCAATAACATTTTATTTACCTTCCTCCCCATACTGGTGTTTAATGAATACCTGGTTAGATAAGCATGTGTAGGCATCTATACAAAAAGTGACTAGCTGGAATGCCCCCCAGGGAGCGGAGAATGTACACTGTAATGTGAAAAATAATAATTGAATCGAGGCAAACCTGTTTAGCGACCACCTCTATAAAAAGGACACATATTTTGTTTCCCTTGATTTATTGTTTCTCATTGAAACCTGTAAATAAAGACCACCCATCTTTAAAGACATTTAATGTCTCCTTTGAGCGGTCTTTATATACAGGTTTCACTGTATTACCATCATCATTATTGTTATAATCATTGTCATGTGTTAGTGTGTATTTTCAGTTTGTGCCAACCCTTGTTCCAGCAACTCATGCGCTCCCAGTAAACAGTGCTTCTACATCCCAGCCCAATACCTGTGTATCAAGAACAGCAGGAGGAATCTGTCCTCTTTCTATCTTTGGCGTCCATCCATCAGACTTGGGCCTTGTTTTATAAAACCTCTTATCAATATTTAATGCTAAAATTATATGACAAATTTACTCTCAGCCAATCAAATGAGTTGATTTTAGTATCTTATAACAGTTATAATGTTACTTGCCATTGAGAACAACTTCGTAAATTTAGTTGCTTTTTCATAGAAAGCCTTGACAACCTGGTGGGGCATAGGCAAAAATTATCGTTCAATAAGTTTGCATGCCATTGAATAAATTATATCAGCTTTGAATTTTTTTTTTTACTTGACTTGGCTCTCATACACCTATTTTTCATAATGTTTTATACTGATGTTGCCTTATTTTCTTTATACAGACATCTGCCCATGCCAAAATGGCGTATGTGTCTCCTAGACGATGCCACATCCTCAGCCATCTGTTAATGCCCCGTTAGATACGCTGGTGTGCTCTGTGAGATGGGTAAGACACCTACTCCTTCCATACTAGTTGTTCTATGAAGATAATCATCAAAATTATAGGGAAACCGTTCTATGAACGGGTTACCAACTATTCTGCAAATTAGGGAATATGAAGAAAAAAAATTGCTAAAATCTGGGATTAATCAGCAAATTTCATCGGCCTTAAAAAAAAAACGGTCTCTTATTTTTTCGTCTCGTGTCCAAAGATTGTATCCACTGGATCTTGGAATTTTAAAAACATTTATCTTTTTTTTTTAATGGGAATTTGTGTTTTCATGAAGTCCTGGGAACCCTGATAAAAGACTACCAGAGGAATACACAGTAATGAGACCTTTGAGAGGGTGTTGTAGTACAGTGCTTAAGCCTTTGACTTCAGATGTAAAGATTGTGCATTTGAGCTGTGGTTCAGTAGTAATGTAATTTGATGAAACATCGATCAGAGTCGGTCATTCACATATGCCTCTGTTAAAGGGATCCGGTAACTTTGTCTCAGATTCTGAAACAAAATTGTGGATTTAGCTCATGATGCAATGATAATTATAAACCTTTAGGTCAGTCAGGAACCCCATGAGTTTTACAAGCCGATCGCCTGTCTGATTATCAAGATATTTATGATTGGAATTACAAATTTAGAAAACCGTTCGCCTGACGGTTTTCATAACACTACAGTCTATTGGGGAAAACGAGTATGGTAAAACCGGTCACTCAAAGATTTTTACTTTTTTGAGGCACTTCTTGATCATTTTGAAGCGCAATTTTTTTAGGGCTTCAATATTACACCACATCACAGACACTGATAACACGTAGGGCCGTGTATCTCGGATTTAACATTGTTAAACGATCCCTTTAAGCCTAGCCTCTGTAATACCTCGATCACACCTCTGCACCAACTCTTCACCAACTCCAAACCAACCAATTCTTGGCCATTGGAGTCAATGTAATTTTTTGTTTAGTCTCTTGTTGGTCTCTTATTGGTTGATAGAACCGAAGTATTAAAAGGTGAAAGCGACTGTAATATCTGTGATATGTGATCTCATACATATTGATCAAATACAACCATGCTGCACTGTCAAAACGAAGTTCATGTATTTTAGTAATACAGCCAACAACACCACATTACATGGTGGCAGCGGTGGGGATTCTAACCCACGCCATTGAAATGACTGGTGGCAAGTCTTGTGATGCTAAGTTGTCAACCAAATTTTTATTCAAAGTTAAAATAACTTATAAATTCCTTTCTGTCTATTTCAGATATAATGCCTGCTGCATGGCGATTATGCTCGTCGTCATCATCATCTCTCTATCTGGGTTGCTTTGTTACATCATACCGCGCCTCGGCATGGTTCGTTGACATCGAAGCAAGATAGATGAAATTCCAATCCTTCATAAACACAACACTGCTCACAAGCTCATTTAAATCTAATCTAAGCTTATCGCATTCATGCCTTTGCTAGAAAGATCCATTGTGTAATCCCAATGGTAAGTTATGAGAATTGAAATATTGGGATGTACATGCGAGGAAAATATATCTATTTCTTTCTATGCAAAACATGAATTCAAATGGCTGGTTATTAGATTTTTCAAAAGGGAAAAATCTTGTGGCCATTAGCCTTTAGGCAATGTTTGTTGAAGAAAATCTATCTAACCATTATGTATTAATTGTGCTACAAATGTCTGTAAATACTGTGTACGCTTAACGGTAGATTCTTAGTTGTATAATTTCATGTTGATGTAAGACGTAGTCAAAGGCAGACACATGGAGGAGGTGTTGTTTTCAATGTGCTGCTTGGATGTTGATGTGATTTTTTTGTTAACGTCTCGTGAAACTATTTGTTAATATGTTATGTTATGTTACTTCTCTGGGATTACCCTTAGAATATTCTCTCCCTGTGAACCCTTACTAGCCTTTCTCTCTGAAATTCATCTAGAAATGCTGTGTTTTTAACGTTTTTGTCACGACAGAACTGATCATTTGTCTATTTTTTTTCTTCAAACTAATCGTTGACGGCTCAAACTTTAATGCCAATTGAAAAAATGGCTATGTTTAGGTTGTTTTGTTGGGAGGGAGTAATGTTTGGAAGTATTTTTCGACTTTATTTTGCTTCAGGTTTGCTTATAAGCGATGTTCATATATATATATGGACTATCATATATCGAACCTACTTTATTTCCCTCTCAAAGTATTTCAAACACCAAAGCACTTCAGAAATGACAAATATATCATGTTTTATATTACATTCACTTATATATATTGCAGAAATTTTATATTGAATTACATCAATTCTGTTTTTTTATTTTCAATTTTATCTTTGTCATAAAGTCATGGCTATCTAGGATATGAATTGCAGACATTTTATATTGAATTACATCAATTCTGTTTTTTTATTTTCAATTTTATCTTTGTCATAAAGTCATGGCTATCTAGGATATGAATTCATTTAGTGAATTGTGTTTGTGTTTAGACAGATATGAGTTTTGAAAATATCTCAATTTATATAATGAAATAAAAAATGGCCTGATTGCACAAATAATTTTTGTCCTGATTTTCCTTGTATTATTATGATGGTAATGGCGATGGTGATGAATTATTAGATAGATATGAGTTTTGAAAATATCTCAATTTATATAATGAAGTAAAAAATGGCCTGATTGCACAAATAATTTGTATACTGATTTTCCTTGTATTATTATGATGGTAATGGCGATGGTGATAAATTATGGCGGTTGTGATGATTATGATAATGGTGGCGATGGTGCATGAAATTGATGATAATAGACTTGGGTAAAAATGATGATGCTAATGATGATGATGATGGTGATAGTTATGATAATTGTGATGATGACGGTGATGGTGATGATGGTTAAGTTCAATTCGACATTTATTCCATTCATTTATTTTTTTAAAGAGTACATTGACACAACTTGTAGACGAGATCATGAAATAACAATGCATGGTTGAAGAGACGGCTTAATTACAAAAGGCAAGAGCCTTATTGGTGCTGCCATAAAAAAAAAGGGTGTGATGATGGTGATAGTGATGTTTCTCGTACCGTTTTTTGTTCTAAGGGTCTATGGTGTTAACGGAAAGAGAGAGAGAGAAAAAAAAAAGATGGCAGTAGATAAACAAAGAAAACGAAGGAGACGGGGTATACTCCTGTAAAAAATAAAGGAGCTTGACAGAAAGATACAAGAGGAAACGGAATGCATGCACTTAAAAGGAGGCATCCGAAGGCATAATAGAGGCAGAATGAAAGCCAAAAGTGGGAAAGTAGAGAAAGAGAGATACAGAGACGGGGCAAGCGAAGGAGAGCGAGCAGAACAAGAAAGCCAGAGGCGGAAAAGAGAGATACAGAGCGGGGAAAACAAGAGAGGCGGGAAAGGGAGACAATAGAAAAAGAGAGATGCAGAGACAGAGCAAGAGAATAAGAGGGAGGCAAGGCAAGAGGGGGGGGGGGGGAACAGGGTGAAATAGTAGAGAGAGAGAGAGAGATAGGTAGATGCAGAGACAGACCAAAACAAGGAGAGGGGCAGAACATGACAGGAGAAGGGAAACAGAGCAAGAGAGAAGAGAGAGAAATGCAATTGAGAACAATGCCTTCCATATTTCTAGCACAAATAAGCTCTTTTGAATACTGATCATGAAAGTGTTGCCGATAATTAAAAAAACGATTATGTTCATGAATACGATGATGACGCTATTAGAATGATGACCATGATTAAAAGTGGCAGGCACAGCGCCCCCTTCAGGTTTTCGATAGAGGATTAAGAGAAGGTTGAGTTCTGGGAAGAGGTGATAAATGATTTGTGAACGTTATCATTCTTGTTATGCAAGTGTGGAACAACATCAGATAAGACATGTTCCCTGAAAAGCATGGCTCTTCAAATGCCTTCATATTCTAAATATGTCATGTAACATCGTAAAACTCGGGGGTATGATTTTTACGCCACGTGTTCGTGTAGTCCCATATACATCTTTCTGTACGTGTACAGTGTTTGTAACTTTACCAGGACTTGGCCATTTTCTTATCATTTTGATGATTCCAGAACCTTGCAATACACACACATTCTTATATGCTAGATGATCAACCTTTTCTGGTCGATTCCACACCGTTTCTTTCACAATGCAATGGCATGACCAGAACTCAACTTCATCTTTAAACTGTTTACTTATACGGCTAAACAAGTTAAAAAAAACATTTTTATAAATATTACAAAATGTATATAGTGATTTATTTAGTCCTGATTTAATATAACATATGAGTAAGATATTAATTTTTTACCCATCCATAACCCAACATCTATGATGTTAAATATAGAAACGATTGTTAGTATCCATGGCAGTGTATGGCCAAACGATAGAAATTGCATGCCTCGAATTTCCTTGGATTAAATTGTTATACATTAATGAGACAAGCTGAGATGATGCAGAGTGAAAGGTGAGAGAGTAAAAAAAGAGAGAGAGAGACAGAGACAGATGGAGACAAATGAAGAGAAAAAGAGGGAAAGGGAAACAGTGAGAAGGAGAGGGTGAAAGTGTAAGAGAGAGGGAGAAAACAAGATAGATGCAGATGAGAGAGACCGAGAGAAGGAGAGGGGCAGAACGAGACTACGTGAAGGGAGACAGAGCAAGAGAAAAAAGAGAGAGAGGGGAGAGATGTAATTGAGAAAAATGCCTTCAATATTTCTAGCATAAATAGCTAGGCTCTTGAATTACCTTCATGACAGTGTGCCGAAACTGCCGATGATGATATAATGATGTTCATAAATACGATGATTTTTTTTTTTAACATGTGTTAGATGATGACCATGCAAGATTAAAAGTGGTATAGCGCCCCGTTCAGGTATTCAATTGAGGATTGTTATATATGATAACTGACATATGTCGCCTATGATTCAATTTTTGACTATGATAACGTCATGATAATGTAGTCTACATAAATTTTGTGGAAACTTGTCTCAGCTAC